GAGCTTAACGTTCCTCGTCTGCACAGTGAGAGATCTGAACCTGGTCTCTCAGATCCTTCCCATCGCTACGATTCTAACGAATCTTACATATAAAACTAGAGGCCCAGTGCACGAAATCGTGTGGGTAGGATCCCTAGGGCCTAGCCTTCTGTGATCAGGGCCACCTTCTGCCTGTTCGCCAGTCCCCAGGTCAAATGCCGCCTCTGCCGCAGGGCTGTCAGGCGTTGGGATCACCAGCTCATCCCCGGCTGCTCGGGGGCTCAGGCCTGTGGGAAAGCAGGCGCCGGCGACTTCACTTCCATGTGCGTGCACTGGACCAGCCGCTGATGGAAGGCGCTGCCTGCTTGGGGCCACTCACACGGGTGCCGCTGCCGCCGGGGATGAGCTGGTGATCCCACGGCCTGACAGCCAGCCCAGTCCTCCCGCCACCCACCCCAATTCCCCCTTTCACCATCGCTGATCCATTGGAGCCTGCGGGCCGGGGGCAGGGACCAAGAGGTTAGCCATTCAGCCCACTCGCCAGTCCCCAGTCCCACCCCACTCGCGGGTCCGGGGCAGGGCGGGGGGGGGGGGGAAGGAGGGGGAGGAACCAAGAGGTGCTCAATCCACCTCTGGGTGACCAATCGTTTGGTTGTCACAGTTGTCACGGACACTGGCTTTTTATATATATATAGAAGGTATGCTATAAAATGTTTTATAGAGATATTTATGCACGAAAAACCTAGTGAATGGCTTAATGACAAAATCTCTAGATGTTTTAGTTCTGTGGTTTTTAGCGGAGGCCATACCGCCTTTGCTCATTTCTGCTAACGGAACCGCCACGGCTATCACAGGCAGCACCAGAACTGCGGGTTCCAGCTTGTGTTTACTGCCTGCCTGACGTGTGCCAGGGGCCTCACTGTCACTGTCTCGGAGATAAGGATATAATAATATCTAAGTGTTAATATCTAGGATCGTTCGGGAAGTAAAGCAATCTGCACGAGGCACTTGGTTTCGGATGCATATTTTGGGATGAAATAAAGACCAGGAACAGAAATGTAGGGGTCTTGTCCCCGGTCGTTATTTAATGCGCATTTAGAAGTCTGTCATCCAATCCTTCCATTTCTGGATCAGGAAAGAGAGGCGAGAAGAGCTGAAGTCACCAGCCCACAGCCCACAGCCACGCAGCGACTTGTGAAGACTGCCACAAGTCTCCCTCCAGCGTTCTTTCTATGACATCAGGTTTCTGTTGAACACAAGCGATTCTGCCACCCGTTCCTTTCATCCTTTCTCTCGGGTTACAAACACGGCTAGAAAAATTAAAAACCAGGCAAAGAAATGCCCACATGGGGTTGGCAGCCCTACTAATGCTGCTGACAGCCACCCAGCTGGGGACCAGCTAGGACCCGCGGCAGCCTCCGGATGAGGAGACCGAGGTTAGGAGAAGTTAATAACCGCTCAGGGCATGCAGTATCTAAGGGGCAAGGTCAGGAACTGAACCTGGGTGTGTCCGGGTCTAGAGGCGTGGTCGTGACGATACCATGCTGCCCTTGGACATGGTCGCTTCTTGGCTTTCTAAACAGTTTTAATGCTGCCCCCTGGGTGAACTTGGATTCCAGCTCAAGCGGAGTGTCAGGCATCCAGCCTTCTTCAATATCTGCCCCAATGATTCAGCTGAAGACAAAGAAGATCCTAACTTGGCAACACAAAACTCCAGGCAGAGCAGTGAATCTGATGCAATATGGTTAAAACTTCAAGATCTGCCCGGCCGGCGTGGCTCAGTGGTTGAGCGTGGACCTATGAACCTGGAGGTCACGGTTCGATTCCCGGTCAGGGCACATGTCCAGGTTTTGGGCTGGATCCCAAACAGGGGGCGTGCAAGAGGCAGCCGATCAATGATTCTCTCATCATTGATGTTTCTATCTCTCTCTCCCTCTCTTTCATCAGTAAAAATATATTAAAAAACAACAACAAAAACCTTCAAGATCTAATAGGATGTTTTAAAGAAATAAAAGAAACAGATGATGAAGTTGCTTGTGTTCTGAGGCAGTATAAACATTTGTGTCTAAAAAATTAACGGCATTAAGATTTAGGGAACCTGGCTTAATATAAATTCACACACACAAAAAAAATTCAGTATTTTGAACATAAACTTACATTGGCTAACAAAGTGACATAGTCGCAAAACAAGTTAAAACAATCTTAGACTGTCCCGATAAAAACACCCAGAGAGGATATAATTCCCCCAAACCATAAATCTGGCCGATTGTAAAAACCTGGTTTTATTTTTGGATGCCACATTTTTTCCAAGTTGATAATGAAAGTGCAGTGTGAATTCAGGGCATGGAGGAGGGACTGGGACTTGTTGATGAGCCCATTGTCAGTGCACACAGATAAGAGCCTCCTTAGATGGAGGCCAGGCCCACGTGGGGGAAGGCAGTGTTTCAGGTGATGACAGAAAAATGCCTTCCTGTTACTGATAACTTCAATGTCATAGTCACTTCGGATCCCAGTTCAGAGCCAAACAAGCCAGGGGCTCAGGCGTATGTGTGTTTCTTCTGATCTCATTCTCTATGTTCCACTTGTATTTTAATTGCCCGTAGCTCCGATTCCTTCTCTGATTAATATCTGACCACTGTTTTATAGCATACGCTAGAATTCACTTTATTTCACTTTACTTTGTTAAGAATGTACTTCAAATCCTTTGTAGGTGGAGGTGAAGTTGGTTTGATTAGTTTACTATTTACTAGGCCTTCAACAATTGAGAGAACTGAGTATTTTTAGCTGGAAAACACAAGAGATGTTTTCAAAGCTGAACAGTCTTTTTTTTTGATTCTTTATTAGTTAAGGTATTACAATTGTGTCCTCATCCCCCCCCCCCCATTAAACCCCCATCCTCCCCCCCCCACACACACACATGTCCATTGGTTTGGTTTATATGCATGCATACAAGTCCTTTGGTTGATTTCTTCCCCTTGCCCCCTCCCTCCCCTACTTTCCCTCTGGGGATTAATAGTCTGATCGCTGTTTCTCTGTCTTTGGATCTGTCCCTGTTCATCAGTCTATGTTGTTCTCTATAGTCCACAAATGAGTGAAATCATGAGGTATTTATCTTTCTCTGACTGGCTTATTTCACTTAGCATAATGCGCTCCAGTTCCATCCATGCTGTTGCAAAAGGCAAGAGTTCCTTCTTTTTTACCGCACAAAGCTGAACAGTCTTACAGAAAAGGGAACAGGTACAGATTTCTGTGGCCACAAAGAACAAAAGCAAGACAGCGTGTGAACATTATTGGGAGGTGGATGAAACTCGCTGGGTTGAACATTCTGGAAGAGCTGCGGAAGTCTTAAGGAGGAACAGGCTGCCCCTCGAAGCTTCAGCGTTTCTGTCCGTCACCACCTTTGAACAGAGGTTGGGGACAACCCACCAGGAAGGGGAGGCCAGACCAGAGGACATCGGAAGCCTCCTGGGTCTCTGAGGCTGTCGTAAGTATACACCACAGCAAGGAAAACAACATATAGGTTCGTAGAGCCCCACATTACCATCGATGACAGCAGCGATCATCAGAACAGCAGTAATGGCCATAATGACACAGTACAGGGCTTGACAGCTCCTTTCATCTGGGGCCTTGTCAAGGGACATCAGGTGTAAGTATTACTTCTCACCCCCATTTTGCAGATAAGACAATTAGAATGTTTCAACGTGAAATAACACAGAAGGGTAATGAAATCGCCTAAGCTGACAGTAAGTCAGCAAAAATGAAGGTGTCCACTAGTTCAACCACTGACTGTGGTTAACAAGCAAATGTGGGCTGGTAAGTAAGACTGAGTTTGATCTTCTGATGTACAGCGAGATGTCACGCTGCTAAGCGCCGAGGGGCCCAGTGAACACTGGCCTCGGGAATTCCCTATTTTATACGAGGATGCAGGACCCTCAGGGCTCTCGCTCCGCCCCACACCTGTCTTACTCTTCCCGACCAGCTACTCCATGGCCAGGCCCATCGCCTCAGCAGCTCGGAGCTCACCTCTCTACAGCTTCACAATCAGAGAAAAAAGGGATCTTTCCTGCAAGTTCTAACTTGAAAATTCCTGGGAAGGGATGCTAATTAGCCTGAATCACTCCTACCAAGAACTGTGGCCAGAAGAGGGTGAAACCCCCCCCACCCCCACCCCCCGCTTGGCGCTATGCCCACACTGTGGTTAAGTGATCTGGCTCTATGACTGAAAGCAGAGGACAAAGCAATACATGTCCACCACACGTCTTTTCTCAATTGAAGGAAATGACATGTATATTAGCCACAGTGCCAAATACATTCTCACCAGCTTTATCAGAAGTCTACATAATAAATAATTAGGTTTTCTAACTTCCTAAGAGATTACTTAATAAAAAAGATTATAACCTGCCCTAGCCGGTTTGACTCAGTGGGTAGAGCATCGGCCTGTGGACCCAAGGGTTCCAGGTTCGATTCTGGTCAAGGGCACCTACCTCGGTTGCAGGTTCCTACCCGGCCCGGGCCCTGGTCAGGTCTCGTGCAGGAGGCAACCAATCGATGTGTTTCTCTCACATCGATGTTTCTCTCCGTCTTTCCCTAAAATCAATGGAAAAATATCTTCGGGTGAGGATTAGCTAACTAACTAGATAGATAGATAGATAGATAGATAAATAAAATTGTAGTTTTATTTCATTTTTGGGTGCTTTTCTCCCTTACTTTTTTTCCCCTTCTGAACGATTCTTATCATTTCACAGATGACAGTTACTTTGGCCATAACATAATGGTACTTCCGGTTCCAACTGTGCAAAGCTACTTGGGACGTATTCACAGAGGGCATCTGAGTTTTTTGTTTTTTTTAAAATATATTTTATTGATTTTTTTACAGAGAGGAAGGGAGAGGGATAGAGAGTTAGAAACATCCATGAGAAACATCAATCAGCTGCCTCTTGCGCACCCCTTACTGGGGATGTGCCTGCAACCAAGGTACATGCCCTTGACCGGAATTGAACCTGGGACCCTTGAGTCTGCAGGCTGACGCTCTATCCACTGAGCCAAACCGGTTAGGGTGGCATCTGAGTTCTGACAGCGACCAGCAGCCTTCCAGGGACAGTCAGCCACGGCACCCTCTTTCCAGGGGTCTCCGCCCTCTTCTCTTGGTGACCGTACATTTCAGTTGTACAGGAAAAAAGAAGAAGAAGAAAAGAAGGTCTTATGGTTACGTTTCCATTCTGTGACTTATCGTAGACGCTAACTCAGGTGTTGAACAACTCTACTGACTCCTATTCGGGCCACAGTATCAGACTTTACAGACAGAGGGACCAAGAGAGACAGGTCCTTCGAGGGATTTTCTTCCTACGTGGTGAGAAAGTTGGCAAGCAAGCAAGCAAACAAATGAGCAAAACAGTCACAGGTTGTGTTAAGTATGAGGGGAATCAAAGGACAGTGGATGGAGGTCCACAGGGAGTCCAGGACGGCTCTTCTCAGTGGAAAGGAGTCGCCATTGGAGATGCAGGGAAGGGTGCTGTCGGCCAACACCGGCCCTACTGACATCTTAGACCGCAGAATTCTGTTGTGGGGACTGTCTGTCCATTGTAGCAGGGGCCTCTCCCACTGGATACTGCCCTCCCTCCCCCGAAATGTGTTTCTGGCCATTGCCAAATGCCCCCTGGGAGCCCCCCCCCCACCCCCAGGCTGAGAGCCACTACTGTAGACACAGGGAATTAAGAATGTGAAGCCTCAGACAGCATGAGACACTGTTAGAGAGCTAGGGACAGACCATTCGGGGTCTGCAGGCCTTGGCAAGAATTTGGATTTTATTTTACACTAGGGGGGGGCGTTGTCCTTCAGCCTGGCCTGCACCCTCTCCAATCTGGGACCCCTCGGGGGATGTCCAATTGCTGGTTCAGACATCCCTCTCGCAATCCGGGACCACTGGCTCCTAACCGCTCACCTGCCTGCCTGCCTGATCGCCCCTAACTACTCTGCCTGCTGGCCTGCTTGCCTCCAACTGCCCCCCCTTGCCGGCCTGCTCACCCCCAATTGCCCCCCTGCTGGCCTGATCGCCCCCTACTGGCCTCCGCTGTACACCTGCTCGCCCCCAACTGACACCCCCTGCTGGCCTGCTCATCCCCAACTGCCCCCCCAACCCCCGGCCTGATTTGCCCCCAACTGCCCTCCCCTGCTGGCCTGCTTACCCCCGAACTGACAACCACTGCCAGCCTGATTTCCCCCAATTGCTCCCCCCGCCCCCCGTGCTGCATAGGTGTCTGCCCAAATTGGCCCCACTCGGGGACTGCCCACCCCGAAACCCGGCTGCATGGCCCTCGCCAACCATGTGTCTACCAGAACGACGCGGGGGTGCCTAGGATAACACCCAGCCCCTTGGTGGAGATTAATGCCCGGTGCCTGAAC